ATTTCCAGACAGGAAGCCCGAACATGCACATTTTTTGACCAAGCCCCATACACACTCACCCGAGTGCTGACGAGCAACGGAAGGATCCTGGTCAAAAACTTGGAGTCTTACAAAGTCTCTGAATTCTGAATGACTATGCTCCTGAAAATGTAACCGTAAAGGTTCACCGTAACCTCCCCAAAGCACCCAAACCAGAGTTTGGTTGAAGGTCTGAGACGTAGGGTCGCTTACAGCAGATTGGAACTCGGACAACGTCAGTGACACTTGCTGCGACAACCATTCATGACTATTTATCGTGATGGTGATCATCGCCACCATCATGAATCGCAGCTGTACAGCAAAGCAACAAGAGAAAAAGAACCAACAGTCGCCTACAATGCCTATACCAGAGTCTATTCCCGGCCTAATCTGAACTTCGGGAGCTCCGACCTTCGCAAGTGGTCAAGCCAGACCATTGAGTTCTGGAGTCTTTTTTACAGTCTGGGGCTTCAATGTAACTTCTGTCTCAAGCATATTCAATATCAGGACTTCTTCAGAATAAAACATGGCATGAACCACCGCATTGCCGCGATTGATATCGATGAGAATGGTAAAACCGCAAAGCCTGCGTACACCCTTCCACACCTCATTGCAACCATACTGAGGCACACGGCGAGATAAGAATCGCGGGCGCTTGCCACATTGCAACTTGCTAGAATCTGCTAGGGTATTCTGCCTAATAACTCCTTGTCTCTCGTGAAGCTCAATGCTCCAACTTGCAGGACAGCTCTTCGAACTGCCCGAGCTAGTCTGTGGCTGGGTGCGGAGGCACATCTCCCATAGATATATCCCCTTCATAACAAACTACATGACGACTCTTACGCTTCGTCGGTATTCGAACGATCTATGTAGTAACGAGTCTTGACTTTAGTGCCTTAGTGCAACCCAGTAGTGCAATCCTATATAGCCAATAGGCAGCATAGGGTCGGATGGATTCGCTTCGTTTGACATGGTCCCTCGCGATTCGGTCTCAGTTTTCGGGCCTCTGTCCACAAATCCCTCTGCTTGCATCAACTTGACTTAGCGGCTGATAGAACGAATGAAGGAAAGAATGCATGTGTGAAAGAATGTGGGAACGAAGGAAGGAAGCCACTCTAATGCTTGCAGATTGCACAGGCAAAGCGCAGTTTGAGTTGACGAGGCTTCGTCGCTTTCGATCAGAGGCTTAGAGTTTTGACAACATGGGTTTGAGTTTCGATTGTACTGGCCATACGATTAGGTCTCCGTTCAAACTCCCATGCAAGCATGGACCCCGAAATTGCTCGTCCAGTCACGCAAAACTTAGCCCAGCAAACAACTCATAATTTCTCATAGCCATCAGCCTGCGATTCCATGAGGTGACAAGTTAAAAGTCCTCGACGTGTGGTTTGAGTATCATGCCATGACGCACACAAGCCTGAACACAAGGTCATACCTGCAAGCCAACGCCAAGCTCAAAACCTGGCAACATCTTGACCTTGCCAATCGTTCATCGAAAGAGACATGATTTTTGTGTTTGGCACTAATTAATACAAACCTACATATACAACTAACATCCTGAAGACCTGAACCTGCATGTGGCGCTCCAATTGAGGTCCGAGCCAATCTGTGGATCTGTATTGTTTGAACGGAGTCTTCGGAATAGACAACTAGAATCACTAGAACAAACCAACCACACACATGATGAGTTTTTAGTTCTCGAGGTCATTTTTGCAAGCAGGGTTGGGGTATTTGAGCTTTGTAACTTAGGTTGCTAAACAAGTCTCCTTCATGATCCCTGCATCGGCTACAGCACCAATAAGACTGGCAACAGCTATACGAATTCAGGTCTGATCCCGTTGTATCAAACGCTCTCGTGCTCGTCCTCCCTGAACCCCAGCCGGCGGCACAGCGGCAATTCTATTCTCAGGGCGCGGGCGCACGGCCCTGCAAAGTCCAAGGCTGTCCAAAGCAATTACCAACTTAAGTGGTCTCAGATGTGGAGGGATCTGCAGAAGATGTGGCGGGGGCTTGATGACGATAACAACAACAACCACAACAAGCCAGGCAGTTGCGAATAGGGACTTAAAATGAACGTCTTTGCGGCGGACTTACTGAGTATGCGGACCCCCATCTCTGCTGCGGTGAAGCAAGATTCACGCTTGGACGCTTTAGGTTTCGTATATGGTTGAAGCATTTTGAGGTACCTCTATGCTGGAGGAACACAGGGCACGAAGGCCAAACAAAAAGGAATGAACATGTCAGCTTAAAGTCTTGTGAGGCGCACAGGGCTCAGGGGTGTACGGACTATGATGAAGGCAAGAACGACATCCTCTCTCGGAAAGCAGGGTGGCATTAGCCGCTCCAGCAGCCTGTAATATTTTACCAGCACGAAAACACACCACGTCCCAAGGCGTGAAGAAACCCAAGAGCATGCCTGAAACACCCTGCAACACATGTAACAAAGTGAAACCAAGCGTGCTCTGCCACAAACCTGTGACGCTTCAAAACCACGAACATTTCCACCCCATTCAATTGAATTGATGATGCCTCAGCGCAGTATCCTTCAGCTCAAGTAGCTGTCACCTGGGTTTGCATCTTGGGCTTATAGGGCACTAAGCTAGTAGCGTTGGGCAGTGCTGCAAGCGCTTGATGGTAACAAAATCATCACAATGAGTGGTTCATGGGGAAAGCGTATGCTGCATTTTTGCCTGCAGCTCTCATGTCCAATGCATGTATACATGCATGCATGTAGTGCACATTTGCAAATGCTCATACCTACACCCATACAAACCCTAGTCTCCAAACTCCGACAACAAAGCGAGTCTCATAAGAGCAGAATCCCACAAAATCATACAACTATGCATCTACATTGATACATCGGTTCAGAAACACTACAAACCAAGAAAATGCTTGCAGCGATGTATTTCTGTGACCGAAGGTCTCCGCTTCCTTCGAAACCCGACTTCGGGTTTAGGGTTCAGGTTCAAACTTGACGGTTTACAAGTTGTGGGTCACGAGTCCGTTATTAGTGGCCTTTCTACACAATGTTGCAAACAAGCTAACAATCAACAAGTGGTCTGTTGCGATTCGGGTCTGGGCTGCAACCCCTTCAACAAACATAGTTACAAGCCCGATCTGCAGCGAAGTCGTCGTCGTGGCAGGTGCTGCAGCAGCAGCAGCAGCAGCAATGTAGCACCCGCCCGAAAAAATCTGCACCATTGGTCGATCGAGAAACTGAACATGCACATGATGCTACGGATGCTGATGAATACGCACCAGTATACCAAGAATGACGATCAACACAACGGTCAAAATCATAGTGTTCGTCGCATCATTCGCAATATATACATAAATACACACCAAAACTGGCCAACACCGAATAAAAGGTAAGGTACATGATATATAACACGTACAACATTTAGTACCTAACATCTAAAGCATCTAACATCCACTATCAAAAACTATAGCATCCGACACCTAAGATTTAACATCGGGATTATCGCATCTAAAATCCCATGTCTGATGTCTAAGATGTAACAGCTAACGACTGGATATCTGAAGGTAATTCCGAACCGGTGGTAACAACATTGAAAATACTAACAATAATGATAACCGTAAACATAATTACTATCTATATCTGATGATGAAAAGGTACGAAAACTGAGTTAAATCATGTAATGGATTCGTCGTGCATCAAGAGCCGACTCAAAAACGAAAGCGCAAATGCACTTATGGAGCTCGGCCGGCATCAACGGGCATTGGGAGTATCCCCGTGCAAATATTCGTTTTTACAGTGGCTCAACATGTGAAATTCATATTCTATTGGAAATCTTCGCAAAAACGGAAAGCACAGATGCATAGCGCAGTGTTTTTCGCACATGTATTTCCACGCTAGAATGCATGCGACCACGCCCGTATTGATCTTGCTTCAGAAATCGGCTTCGGCCTACACGAAAGGGCTTTGGGTCAGATTGGGTTTTGGAAGTCTTCCCGTCTATGCGTTTCGACCTTGGCTCAGAATGCAAAGAGGCACACCCGTATTCATTTTGCAGTAGAAATCGATTTCGGCCGGCACGAAAGGGCTTTGGGGTAAGGTAGTCTTGCCGTGTATACGTTTTGACATTGGCTCAGAGTGCACAAATGCACGTCCGTTTCATTGTGTATCAGAAATCGACTCAAAAAAGGGAAAGCACATATGCGCTTCTCGAGCTCGGCCGGCATCAAAAGGTGCTTTGCGAAAAATTATTGTTTGTGCTGTTGAATGCCTCCGTCCTCATCCTGAAATACATGCTCTTATTCTTGAACATGCCAGTGTTGTTTTTTGAACCACGGTGTGCTAAACTTCCAAGTTCTTTCTTTTGGAAAAAGGAACTATCTTATATATATATATACACACACACATATTCATTGATATCTTTATATGTACACTAATACACTCTGATATACCATGAGATCAACAAGAACAACTGTACGAACAATAGCAGTTTTCACAATTCGAAGAATTTTATGTGCATGAAGCAAATAGAACATATTATGATGCAATATACTGTATACCTAATACCAGTACGCGGCAATGTGTTATATCCATCCATCCATCCATCGATCCATCCATCCATCCATGCAGGCAGGCATACAAACACAGTCACATCCATCTATCCCTCCTTCCCTCCCTCCGTCCGTCCATGAATCCATGAAACCGTGAGTCCATGATGAATCCATGAATCCATCCATGCATACAATAGTAAAACAAAGTGTGCTTCAATTTTAACAGGATAATGTAGCAATAGATGGTGGTGAACGTGGCCATAGTGACGACGGTGGCGGAGACGGATCGTGATGATTATGATGCTGATGATGAGTGCATCCATTTCACGTGCTTGGAGTATGAAAAATGACAAACAACAATGCTTGCGTGGTGATGGTATGAGGAGGTAGATGACGATGATAAGCCACGGCTAGTCTGACTCATTCCCCTAAGTCCTGAACCAAGAATTCCGACCTTACGTGGCCAAATCAGACAGAGGACGGCTTTCCATGAGCTTCTGAAAGGCCAATTTGGCTGCCTGGGAAGCGCTCGCTTTTTCGCTTCTTCGGGCTTTGTGCGTGTGTTTGCTTACGAGTTCGGGGTGTAAGGGTTTGGGTTCAGTCTGGCGGTGAAGGGTGTGTGTGTGTGTGTGTGTGTGTGTGCAGCATGGAGGCGATGTGAGTTCAAGATTCGGGTTCTGTATAGGAGATGTGTTGGGCTCAGGTTTCGAAGTGAAGTGGGGCGATGGGAATACCGAGATAAACAGCCGGCTTCGGCTTTACGCTGTAATTTCTCAGGGTCTAGCAAGCTCAATACCAAGCGAAACTCCTGACAACATTCAGAACAAACAGCCCACCCCGGAGACTTGCGCCCTCGCCCCGAAAAACAAGCAGTAGTCAAGTTGTGGAGGTGTGGACTACGACAGACATATCTGTCAAACACCTCTACGTCAGACGGATACATACCTTAGAGTACAAACACACAGTCAAGAAATTTATCAGAAACATATCTACATGTACATACAATATGTATATACATAGTTGCTAGCTAGATAGATAGACAGATAGGTAGATAGGTAGACAGGTAGGTAGGTAGATGGATCAGATTAGATGATTAGATTGGAATAGATTTGGTATAATTATATACTCTATATGTATATATGCACATACAGTCTGTATATGTTCATGGCCTCTTGGTCGTGCAGGTTCTTGTCCGGGTGTAGCTGCCGCTGCAGGTCGCGGAAGACCTGACACAGGGAAGCATCTACAATTTGTGCTGTTGGTCAGATAACCCCAGGCACAAACTCAGCAATCACATACATTGCCACAGTAGTAATCCCACAGAAGGGCAAATGCAACCAGATTCAGCCTTGCATGTCACAGCTCTGACAGCTTGTGGGTTGGTCGGAATGCGAACATCGCTAGAGCGGCCTCAACATCAGGCTGTACAGTAACATCTTGTCACAACTTGTTCCCCACGTCCATCTTCCTGGAGGTGCACGTCCGAACCTTTTTTGAGGTAGATGTATCTGCGCTCCAAAACTGAAGAGGCAATCCTCCTCCTAATAGGGGAACCAGGGTGAAAGGATGTGAAAGGCCTGCAGACCGTCCTAGTGGGCCATGACAAGCTTTGAAACACAGTTGCACGAAACAATTTGAAGTGCGAAGCACCCCTGACAATTAACAGGGCACCTCCGCGCAAAACTTTCTGGACAACGTCTCTCACTCGGCCTCGATCACTGATGCCGCGCCCATGCCGCTTCCCAAGCACATAGAAGTGACGCCCAACTTCTTGCCCGTGCGCTTCAACTCGGGCAGCAGGGTTGCAATCTGCCTGGCACCCGTGGCACCCAGCGGGTGGCCAAGCGCGATGGCGCCTCCCTTTGGGTTCAGCTTCTCCATGGGGATCTTCAGGTGGTCGACCGACATGGTTGCCTGGGATGCAAAGGCCTCGTTGATCTCGTAGATGTCGATGTCGTCGACAGTCAGGCCAGCCTTCTCGAGAGCGACTGGGATGGCGAAGGCAGGGCCGATACCCATCAGCTTCGGGTCAACGCCGACACAGGCGAAGCTGCGGAATCGCGCAATGATGGGCAAGCCCATCTTCTTGGCAGCTGATCGGCGTGCCAGCAGAACCATGGAAGCACCGTCCGTCACCTGGCTAGAGTTGCCTGCAGTGGTGCTGCCACCCTTTCGGAAAGCAGGCTTCAGTTTGGACAGGCTCTCCCTCGTGGTGCCGCCACGAGGGCCTTCGTCCTCCGTGATCGTCTTCTTCGTCACGCTGCCATCCTTGTTCTTCACTTCGATGGTCACGGGGACGATCTCCTCCTTGAACCAGCCGTTCTTCTGAGCAGCCAGCGCCTTCTTGTGGGAGTCTTCCGCCATTTGATCCTGGCGTTCCCTCGTGATGCCATAGGCGGCCGCCACGTTCTCAGATGTCAAACCCATGGGCAGCAAGCAGGCCTCGGCATTCTCGTAGTCCATGATCTTTGCGGACAGCTTTGTGATGTCGATGGTGGCCATCATGGGGAACATGCTCATGTTCTCCACTCCCCCGGCAAGTCCAACATCAATCACACCTGCCTTGATGAATGCCGCAATGTTTGCGGTGGCCTGGAGACTACTGCTGCACTGGCGGTTGACGGTGCTCAAGGGGATATCGTAGGGCAGCTCGGCCATGAACTGGCCCATCCGGGAGGTCAGTCCACTAGCGCCTGGCTGAAGTACGTTACCGACCTGGATGTCACCAATGTCTTTCGGGTTCACTTTCGTCCTGTTCACGACTTCCCTGAAAACCCAGGACAGGAGCTCCTCTGGGGAGGTGTTGGCGAAGGATCCCCGCTTTGCCTTGGTGAGCGGTGTCCGGACGGCACAGCAAATTACCACGTCGTCATCGGACTTCTCTGGGGCACAGATGCAGGCGGTGCCAGCAGTGGCCTGTGAGACAAGGCTGGGATCCTGTTCCGACAAGGACGCGCTCACGTGAGAAGCGATCTTGGTCACACGGTTCATGGCCACGAAAAGGCACTACTCCAGAAGCTGTAGTGCTGAACCAACAAACTGCAACAATCCCATCAACAAGACGAGATGTCAGCTCTTTCGAAATCGAACCCCAAGGGGTCTGCCGAGTCTACCGGCTGCCGTCAAGTCTGTGCAGACCTAGACACGTTCCAGCATGGACGGCAGGTGCCACCCCAGCAGTCGTGCATTTCCAGCCTTCTTCCGCTCTTCCAACGGAGAGCTGCGCGTTCGATCCTTGCTTCTGGCATGCTGCAGCGCGCGCAGGCTTCGTGGGCAAAGGAGAAGAAGGCTGCTAACTATGACACCTTACCTCCTCGTTCCGGCCTGCTCGCACTAACAGACATGCGCAGCACAGCGAAGACTGCCGCTCGGTTTTCTCTCCGCCAACTCTGTTTTCACCAGTGATGCACCTGCGGCGGAGCGGTGCTGACTCCAGTCACTTCGCAAGATTTCTACTCTATCGTCTCAAGTCAGCTGACCGAGCAAATGAACGTGATGGCGACATTGACCTACAGGATGGAACTCGAGTTGAAGATCCATGAGATCACACGAACATGAGCACGTCGATCATGACGGTGACGCCAGGGTTGAAACTAATGCCAGTGAAAAAGCCGGTGGTGATGCTTGAAACGGTCATGGAGACGATGATGGTGATGATGATGATGATGATGACGTGAAGAGGCAGATGGCGAACGTGGCGGTAGCGGTGGTGGTGGTGGTGGTGGTGGTGGTGGTGGTGGTGGTGGTGGTGGTGGTGGTGGTGGTGGTGGTGGTGGTGGTGGTGGTGGTGGTGGTGGTGGTGGTGGTGGTGGTGGTGGTGGCGGCGGCGGTGGTGGTGGCTGTGGTGGTGCTGTTGCTGCTGCTGCCTGGTCGTGCATGTTGTGTAACTGTGGCCGGAGTAGGCGTGAGTGTGATGATGCTGATGATGTCTGATGATCACGATCTCGATCATGGTCACGGCGATGATGACGCTTGTGCTGACACTGTTGCAAATATTTACGGTGACTGAGGTCGTAATTAGCGACAGTCGCATGACGATGTTGAGGTCCTGAACTTGAGGATTTGAGAGTGTTCTCGGTGTCATCATCACCGCCCCTTGTCACGGTCACTATTGTCCGCAATACAAACGAAGCCACTCAAGCCCTGCACACTCCAAACATTGAATTCGAACCCTTGCACCGCTTAGAGTGGAGTGTACACTGTACACAAGGACCACATGTGGAGGCACTCGCCATAGCCTGCTCACAAAGACCCGGTCGTCTCCCTAATGCATCCCATTAATTAACCTGGCTGGCTGGGTTGAGTTGCGTTTATGGCTCCTGGCGGCATGGCCTTAAGCCCAAAGCGATTAGGGGATTCCGAGCGTCACTCTGGGACCTGAGTTGGGACCCGGTGGTTGGGATAGGTTAAGATTTGGTGCCAAATCCAGCGGCAGCAAACATGTCTCGAAAGACATGCTCTTCAGCTTTAGCCCCTGCCTCCCCTTCCGCCCCCCTCCTCACGAATGGCTCCGACGACGACTGTTCAAAATCGCTACCCGCAGAAAACACTCTCCGAAGCCGCACCACGAATCCAGACTCAAGCCTGTTTAAGGGAATGCTGGCCTTTTTTAAGGGAATGCTGGGTGCTGGCGCCTGCATCTTAAGCAGTAAAATTTTGTGAAAAAGCTCTTTGCATTTCCGGCCGGCGCACTATCAAACATGAAAGCACTTGCCACAATAGCCCCACAAAATCCTGCACAACCGCTTTCCTACCAATGTGGAGAGTTAGGCCTGTGGCGGGTTTCAGAGTTTCGGCATTGGCTCCTGGAATCTATGAATGACATGCACCCGTCAACCCTAAACTCAAGTTCCGGCCGGCGCCTGGACCTGCGACGACTACCTCCTCGACTCCTGGCGAGAAAGCAGAGTTTCTTCCAAACGTTTTTTCCCGTTTGAGTGTCCCTCATTCCCTCACAGGCTTATAAGTACCTATGCTCTGACAGACTTCGGGGTCACGGTAGACTACCGTGCAACAGTCAGCCCGCACCTATGTAGAGCCAGGTCGCTGTAAACAGAATGAAGACGGAGCTCTTACATTGGCAAGGTTATTGCCGAACTTTGGCCAAGATCCAAAAAAACCCTAAACCCGTAAGGCTTGTTCTTGGGGGTCTAGAGTTCGGGCTGCAACGATGACTATCATCTTCAAAAAGCGGCGCCGAAGGGCAACAGTGAAGCCTCACATCGAGGCCTCGAACCGAAATCCCTCACTACTTTCTTTCGCTCGCAGACATCTTCGCTTCGTCTGAGCCACCCTATAGGTTTCAATGTTCAGGGCTGGAGGCTTTAGGTTAGAGGTTTCAGGGTTGAGTTGTTCAGGCCTCAGGACCACAAACAAATAGGTCCTCCGCCCCGGCGCCGGTCACATGTGCGAGATACTTTATGACCTCGGTGTCGGCATCGCCATCTTCGAAAGCATGGAAAGCAACTGCACCAACAAATGACACAACACAACTTCGAAACGACCATTGAGCACATTCATCCTCTGCACAGCATGCACGGCGTCAGGTTGCGAGCTTTGGGGCCTGGAGGAACTGAACAAAAACTGGAGGCGATGCCCTGAACAGCAGAACCAGCTGCGGGTAAGGTTTACAGTCTGGGGGCATGGGCATGGATGTGACATGCTGCTGGATGCGCGTCGGATGGCACCACTGTTGGAAACTGTGGAAGGTCAAGTGAAGCGTCAACACAGGTGGTGCTGTGCAAGTCAGGACACATCCTCTTGCCGGAATTCCACTGCTTTGTCCAGAGCCTGGCAAGTCGGACTTTTCCACCCACCTTACCCTCAAGATGAACTGGATGCGTACGCAATGACACGTCGCTGCCCTCTACTAAACCTAGCATCGTACTCTAGACTCGATAGATCTTATAAAGCTCCAAACCCTAAACCCATGCCGGTCCATATATATATATATATATATATAATTAAATATACCCTAATCCGAAATTCTAGTGAAGGCAAGGCCCTTAAGTCCATTGCCAAGGTACCCCAACCCAATGTTCCAACTCTTTCCCCTGGCTGTGTTTTCTCATTCCAGCACCTGCAAAGACAACCATTTCTGGTTCAGGACGGTTCAGAGTTCGCAGTTAAGGTTCAGGGATTGTGTCGTTTAGGGCCGTTTAGGGGTTGGGAGTTTGCACGGGTTCAGAAAGATCCCTCTCTCAGAAGTCCGCATATCGGGACCCGAAGGAAAATTCCCCAGGGCCCCCAATGTAAACCTCAAGTAGCAAGATCCGTATCTTGAAAACCCGCTGAACGCCTCGGTGATAAAACGTCAAGGTCGAGCCCTACTATACCTGTTTCTGAACCTGAACACCACTCTGATCCAAGAAAAGCTGACGATGCTACCCGAACCCTAACCCTGCATGTAAATGCAATGCAATGGAGCCGTATGGCCAGAGCGCTGGGGTCGGGAGAAGCACATGCCTTGCTGAAGCAACCTCAGCCAAACCCGGGATGTGTGAAACGGCTTTAGTGCATATTTCGGGTTTGATAAGGGGTATGTGAGCAGGGCTAGGGTTCCCAGTTTCAACCAGAGTTCGTCCTCCAGGGCTGTAGGGATCAGCAAATCAGGGCCGAATGTCAAGGTTTAAGGGTCCAGTGTCAGTTTAAGCGTTTAGGGCGCCAGCTGAATGCCCTGTAGCTTTGCATTTGCAAAGGCCATTCCATTCAGTCAGGGAGGCCACTGAAAGTTGTTTCTTTGTTCCATGAAACAACATTTGGGAATCGGGATCTTTCCCCAGGCTCTGCCTCAGCCTCCGGCTCAAAACTTAAAGCAATGTGAGGTTCAGTTGAACGCGAATCGAACTACAATTTGGCTGTCGTGACCTATGACCGGTCCGGCTAGTGGTACCTACTCTGTTTGACACTTACCATCGCGATGGTAATTGTGGTTATCTCTGCTGACGATGGTTGATATGGCCTTAATCATAAACTAAACATTGGGAGTATATCAATTATCATGAGCAACCCTATAAGGGATAGTATTACTGACTGTTCTGAACCGTACATTGATTTTGTTTCCTCTGCAGCAGCCAAAAGGCCATTGGCAAATGGCCACGCCACCACCCATGGCTGCAAAGTGTCCTGCGTCGCAGCCATACCTTATCTCCGGTTGCTGGACGCACAACTGCCATGATCTAAACCAGCAGCTTCTGAACGCACTTAAGTTTAAGTTTAAAATTAAACACAGTAGGATGACGACTCACTAAATGTCAGTGCGGCGTGACTGCCTCAACAATCATTGTTCTTCCATTTCGCCCACCATGTCATGGTGCACAAATGACGACTACCATGGACAAGTGCCTCGAGTTTTCAGACAAAGCCCTCCATTCGCAATGTTTTTGTTTGCATAAGCATTTCATGCTTCTTGAACAATCATGTCGCTATGCCTTTTCTTTCGTCCGATTGGAAGCATAGCTTTCGCAACTATCAAGCGCATGTTAGGAACGAAGGTTTCGCTACAAACCTTGTCTCCACCATCAAATGCTTCGGAAAACTAAAAAACACTGGATCCACGAAACACGGAAAACACGAAAACCTTACTTTTGATGCCAACGGACGCATTCTGCAACCACAGATCTGCTCCTGTGTCCCGCAGATGCTGTGAGCTTGGCTCTTTTAGCTGACTGCGTCGTGACATGCATCTGCAACTATTTGCAGCCGGAGCCACTTTGACTTAGCAAGAAGTCACACGTCTCCATGTGGCCGCCATAACTTGCAAACCTTGCAAAATCAGAGAGTTGCCAGCTAGAAGTGTTGTTCAAGTCTCCAGCTTCACCTCGCTTCTTGCCTGCTGCAAACACACGCGGAAACCACAAGATCTGCAGGGCCAATATTTTGGCCGCCCTGCCCCCCCCCCCCCCCGCGGCCATGATCATTCCTCGATCCTACGAGGGCAAATGCAAATCCATGCCGCCCACACGAGCACGTCTTCAAGCCAGCCACGATCGAAAACTTGTCATTTCCTTCGACACCCCCTCACACTGTCGTGCCGCTTCGCCATCTGCAAATCCACTGTGCGAGACATGTCGTGCTTGCAGCCCCGAAGCATCATCATGGTGACTCCTGCTGTGGTGCGAGCATCAGGGTGCACCTGACCATCACCGACGGACAAGCTTGTCAGGCATGCGGGAGTCCATCAAGGAAAAACCGACGCAAATGCCTTTCACCATCCTGGCATGGTGGGCCTTAGGGAATCAAAGCGGCCAACAGCCGAAATCCTGAGCCCGGCATCGACAACTCCAATGAAGGACGTCCCTGCCGTGCAGGCGCCTTGCACTGCAAAAGTCGCCGGAGAACGGAGTTGTGCCCACCCTGCCATGTGCCGTGCTGCACCCCCGATCATATTGCACTTGGTGCACGGCGTGCGAATTTTGGCAAAGCAGAAACCCCATTTCAAAGAAGCACCACGCCCCAGACCCTCCAAGACATTATCGGAGCCTGAGCAGCCCAGTGAAAGGGTCCCCGGCCATCTCGACGCGTGGCCTCCAGCAAGTTGGACGCTTGTGCTGCTAATGGCTGACAGGGTGTTTTCGAAGGCTTTAGAAGCTTTGCATAAGTCATATCACCAGAACTACGACCCCGTGCGAGTGCATGCTTGCATACTTGTCATCCTCGAACACCTGAAGGCTCTGAAATTGAGGCCGTATAATGCTGTTATTCCCGAAGTCATGGTCCCGTCTCGAAGTTTCAAAACATCGGGGACTCCTCACACGTCAACAACCCAGAACAACATCGGTGGCATTTTCTGCCCACCCTGACCCCATTACAACTTCCCAAGTTCCTGCTCGCAGCAAAATCAACGACACAGTATGTTATTGTATTGTACATGTAAATCTAAGTAAATATTGACACACTTGTGTACGTATATGCGTGCGGTATCCACACATAATTACAGCATGACATCGAGTATCCGTGAGCGTGTCGTGGCTTTCGAGGCACAAGACACGCACTCTTAACATAACAAACCTCCACACAACTGGTTGAAGCGCTGCTTCAAGGACCCCTAGGACAGGAACCAGCAACTTCCTTAAGCCCTAGCAACGTCGTCGATCCACGGCCTTCAGGGCATAGCCAGGGTCCACATTCAGAATCAGATCTACGCACTCCATGTGCCCATTCCCGGCAGCCCAGTCCTTCACAGATGAGGAAGATCCAGGGGGTGGTTGGGATCTTGTCCTGATAGCTGCGACCAGCACTACACTCACCACCTCTCAGGTATGCTACTGCGCTGGCGATTACCAAGGCCACTGACAATTCGATGGGTTGTTGTTGCTGGCCGTCTTGTGGTTGCTCTGACGACCGTTCTCATAATGATGAAGGTGGTACTGATGGTGGCCACGCTGCTTCTTGTCGTAGGTGGTGGTGGTGGAGGTGGTGGTGGTGGTGGTGGTGGTGGTGGTGGTGGTGGTGGTGGTGGTGGGGGTGGGGGTGGGGGTGGTGGTGGGGGTGGGGGTGGGGGTGGGGGTGGGGGTGGGGGGGGGTGGGGGTGGGGGTGGGGGTGGGGGTGGCGGTGGCCGCGGGGTGCTTTTGGTGGCTGCTTGCTTTGCTGCTTTGTTACCATAACCTCTGGGTACATTTTGAGTACCAGCACAACGTTTGACTGAACACAGGAGGACAACGACAAACCACATCGGAGAGAACAGAAAGCACAAGTTTTCTGACAATTCCGATAGAGGTATACATGAAGTTGGAGTTCGTCAGCGTCGGGACTCGCAGCAACTAGCCAGAGAGTTGTGCTTATGGAGATTTGGCAAAGCTCCTCTCAGCTTTCCTTGAACCCCAGGCCCCAGCCCGTCCAGAGCACTGGCGCCGTGCTTGTCCAAGGAAGCTGCTCGAAAGGGTTGCCAGCCTTCGGAGGGAACGGAGCCGCCTAAGCCGAATCAAGGCCTACACTCTACACCCTGCAGGCACGTCACAAACCCAAGAGACCTATCCCCAAAGGGCTCATTGGCTGCAGGCGCAGGGTTGAGAGATGTTCAGGCTTCATGCCATGCTTTTGCCAATAGATGTCTCGTGTGTTTAGGCCAGATGTCTACCTGTTCTCGGAGATACCTGCCTAAGCACACGGGTTTTAGGGAATAACATCATGTCGCAGGCATTCAGGAGGCTATGCGTAAGACGATGAAATCTTGACAACACTTCTCCATTGCCAAACACACAGGAAGAGCGCACGAGTTCAAGAATTTTAGATGGTACCTCTGTCTACGGTTGCAGTTGTGATCCAGGAGTCTCAAGAAATGGGGAGCTCGTCTAGACCCCATAACAGTGGGACAACAGTGTTTAGGAATGTAGTACCAGTAGTAGTAGTAGTAGTAGTAGTAGTAGTAGTAGTAGTAGTAGTAGTAGTAGTAGTAGTAGTAGTAGTAGTAGTAGTAGTAGTAGTAGTAGTAGTAGTAGTAGTAGTAGGTAGTAGTAGTAGTAGAAACAAACTCGAGATTCTCGAGTGGCGTCCTGAGTTTATGACCGGTTCAGTGCCCAGCCTGAGGTGTCTTCTGCGGGCGAGGCGAATGTTTAGGGTGCAGGAGCTCAGGTTTGCACAGTACTTTGCTCGGAAGAGTTCAAGGCTTTAGGGCTCTGTAGTCTGTAGGGTGCACGACCGGCTCCCCTGAAGGTCTTCCTACACGTTGGCCTGCTTTGTACGGCGGAATCGCCCCATGTGAGTGCAGCGGTTGGACGCAAAGGTAGCAGCACTTTTACTAACGCCTTCGGCTGCCATCGGTTGCGAAGCCTCGAACAGGCGCCAGAGATTCTTGTGGTGCTCCGTGACCTTTAAGCCGACATCCAAGAGATAGCCTGCCCGACCGTCCCTTATGCGCCTCCTCCAAGCCAGATACAGTGTAGAAGCCATGCCGCCGATGGGGTGTCTGAGCGCAGTTGCAGGCCCCGTTCTCAAAGAGGGAGCAGTCTCGTACGCGATCAGTTCTGGATGCAACATTCCACGGTCACGGCATCACACCAACCTGGGCTGTCCGACAGGCGACTACTGCAGTTAGCAACGTTGTTACTCTTTTCCGACCTTAACCTAAGCTTCAGAGATGTCAAGACGAAGTCCAACAACAGCTTGGAGGCAGGAAGGTGCGTCGACCCGCGTCACGGTCAGCTGAGAAGGCCCCGTGACTTTCACGTCGAATCGATCGTTGCTGGAGCTTTTCACCTGGAAAATTATGTAGAGTCCTGAACTTGCCCAAAATCGAAGCTGTAAGGCCTGAACCTTCAGATGCGCCTGATGATTTTTAGCAGCATTCCAAATGCTAGCCAGAGCTTCCTGTCGGTCTGGTTGCCTGTCCTGCTGTCTCTGTCAGCCTCTGCCCGTCTCTCTGTTTGTGAGCTTGTCCGCCTGTGCAAGTGCTACAGTATTGCCCTCGTGCCTGCATGACAAACAAACAGAAAAACAAAGGATGCACCTCAAAGACATGCAAACAAACGTCCGGGCTCACAAACATGCGAGAACGCACTGAGCATAGATGATCTGAGCTTAAACCTACCTGCATGGTCAAATCACCCATGATACTTTGCTGTACATTGTACATGTGCCTCCTGACCATGCGTACAGGCCCTACCGCACTACACCACACTTTACTGCCCGAGGTGACTGCCATGAAATGTACTTCACATCGCTTGATGTGCGCTTCCGGGTTACCTGCGTTTGTTGCTCACGCAGCTTCGCGCTGGAAGTACAATGCATGCTCTATTGTGCTCCCCTGCTGGTGCATGACGTTCTGCTGTATGTGTCGTCTCTGCTGTTTCTCTGGCTGCATGGGTTCAAGATGCAGGCGCAGATTGAACGAAGTGTGCCGAGGTGTAGACATTGTACCCAGCACTGCGCCCGCTCTTGACTGCAGTTTACACTCGAACAAGACCTCGACTGCGCATGTCCGTTGTGCAACCCGGCTGCCCTTCTGAGCTGTGTCGCAAATGCTCGTATTGCATCGCAGCCTGCTTCTCCCTTTCACATCCTTTCATGCTAAGTACAAAACCCACTACCTAAGAGGCGCCAGTGCTACCCATGGCAAAGCATGGCGACATAGCTGGGCAGAATCTAGGACGCAAGACTGTCTTGAGGGCTTTCACTGCATCCTGAAGCTGACAGACCCTGATGGCCTCCGTCTGGCAACGCACCAGTGTCTTGGAGACCGTGACATTTTTGATGTGATGTGCCGGAGGCGTGGGGTTGTTGCAAATACAGTTGTTGCCAACATCGACGCATTCTTTGACGCAGGTGGTACCTGCGCCTCGGCCTTTCGACACGGGGGCAGGTGGAGGCGGAAGGAAAGGAGACCTCGGCTCCCCAGTCCAGCCCCCGTGATGATGCTTCAGTTTGCCGCAGAGTCGATCATTGTCCGGCTTGCTTGTTGGCTTGTGGTGCACACGAATGGCGTTACAATCGAAGCGAGGGTTGCCACCGCAGTCACCATCGTTTTGATAATTCCATATGCATCGGTCGACCATCACAGACTCCAGGTGCAAGTATGCCTTGCCGGCGGAGTCGTGCAGGCCGGCTGCGATCAGGGCTGTCTCGACGGGCTTGCACTTCTTGTAGAAGAGGGTATGGAAAAAACCTTGCCCACACTCTGCCCCCACAAACTTACTCCCACTGGGTTGAAAACCACATCGCCCCCAGCCGGTCGGAACGGTAAACGTCACATTTCCACCAAAGAATTCAGCGGCTCGCAACAGCCTCTTGTCCGGGCGAAGGGCGAAAAAACCCACATTGAATGGCTCGCCCACTCCACCACTAGCACTGATAAAGTAGCCTTTTGCGGCGCACTTCAGGACCGCAGTCATGTCCCCCTGGAACTCTACATCTTGGTCATAGAAAACCACGGCATTGTACTCATCCATTCCCAATGCATGCAAACGCATCAAATCTTGTGGTCCGCACCACCCATCTGCTTTGCCTGGCCACCAGTAGTCCGGATACCAAGAATTGGGTGGAATCGTCCATGGCACTTCATAGATGCGGATGCCGTAGTTGTGCACGAGCGCTCGCTGATGACACCCCAACTCCTTAACATCTTTCGCCGGCATCATAACAACGATGTCTACGATGCCGCCCGTGGTCTCCTGCAGGAGGAGGGCTTGCGCACGCATGGAGTCCAAGAAGGTGAGCCAAGGCCATCCTGGAACCCCTACATGTGCGTACACGAAAGCATACCTTCCACCAGTTACGCCAGCAGCACAAGCCTCCACATCAAAGCACGGTCCGTTCTGGTGGCCATCGTTGCAACAGTTCGTGCAACCCAGGCGCCGTTGAAGAGCTGTGGCTGAAGGTTGGGAGGCATGTCCTTGAGTCACCTCGAAAGCCCGTCCTCGCCTTTGAGCGGGTTTTCTGGCGACACTATCCGCATCCCCCTCTGCCTCATCCGCTTCGCTTGCCAAGGGTTCCTGATTGCCAGTAGTAGTGGCTGAGGCATCGACAACCATTGGAGAATAGGCCCGTGTGCTTTCTGCAGCAGAATGGGGTGGCTGTGGACTTAGCGGATCGTGTCTGCCGACCGCTGGGAGGGGTGCTTCCGGCAGGGTGCCTGCGCCGTCGGCCATGCTACTCTCCCCGCCCAGACCTTCCTGGTGCTCTGCACTTTGCAAGCGCGCTACTAAAGCCGCCCGCTCGTCTCTGAAAGCAGCTTCTTCGCTGAAGCGACGAATCATCTCTGAACCGCTTCCAGGAGGGGGGCGCGACTTGCCTTGAAATAGGAAACCAGCTGAAAAGCCCGCCCCTAGCAGCAACATTACAAAGAAGAACTGCTTCGCAGAGCTTGGCTTGCCCGTCTGAGCACCCTTCTTCTTGACGGCCATGGCTTCGCAAGGACCCGAAGACAGTCAAACAGCCACTACAACATCACATCCAAGCTCTCTTGAACTCTTGGGATGCAGTTACAATCGAAGCTAGCAGATGCTGTCCAGCAGCAGCAGCATGTGCCGTGGCTGATTGAACCCCACCGAATGCAAGTCTCGATTAGTCTTCGCATGTGTGCCATACACAGATGCCCTGCTTCTTTCACACTGACGGGTTTCCCGAGGAAGGAACTCTTTATTCTAGACACTCCGACACCGCTAAAAAACACATTGGAAGCGCTGTATTTCCAAATCAGCGCTCGGATACATTGGGACTGTTTCGGATGGTCTTAACTCCGGTCCTTTTGCCCCGCCTTCGCGAAGAAGGCCCTCCAGGGTGGTGACATCGCCTGTCCTCGCAGCCTCAAGTGCTGGTGGAAGCCTCAATCAGAGATTTTCGGCGGCGGGGTGGGAGGAAGGATGTGAGTTTAAAACTCCTGTTTAGCTTCGCTTCTTGCACGTGCGCCCCGCTTCATTTGCACGACGATGAGCTTTGCAGGTTGCTGTTCATTTTTGGCCACCTACTCGCCGGAATTCGATTAGCTCACGCCCCCCCGCTTCCTATCAGCAACGTACACCATCAGACACCATCAGCGCGGTAGGACCGAGTAGTTTGAGAACCTCTATAGTATGCAGACCGCGAGCTGTAAGGAACCGGAATTATGATTCTGCAAGCAGGTTTGGCCACTTAGCTAGGATCTTCATGCGGATGGTTGATGCGCTCACGAGATCCTTTGATGCTCCCGCGACATACAACATCAAAACCAAACAGCCAAGGACGGGTTTATGCGCGTTTTCCCGAAGTTGCGCTGCACGGCAGAAACACGACGTCCCGACGGTCTCGAACAAAAACAATCAGCAAACACACACACACACACACACACACACACACGGAGGTTTTCGCTCCCGGTGCCCCCGATCAAAGCCAAGGTACCTCCGGTCGTCTGTTGTTGTGCGGCTGTTGATGAAAGCACTGCGCCTGGTATGTCCCGCAAAAAGCACTACATCTGCGACACTGCGACATGCCTGGAAGATCCTGGAAGCGTTCCTATTAACAAAAAACCCTGGTAGATTCCAAAGCCGCGACAACACTGCGTATCCCTGTAAGGACGCAACGGCTGCACAAAAAGGCACAGAAACAAAGAACATTGCTTGCAAGTGGTGGGGCAAGCCTCTTGATCCACATTTGACGTATAATCTGCCACATACTGCACGGTATTTGCACATGATGGACTGGTGGTCACAAAGCCTTGACTCACATTCGTCTGGTCACCACCATATGCTCTGCACCAGAAACTCGAACCTAAGCAACGCCGCTCGAAATCTCGAAACCTTAGCAGTCCCCTTAACAGCAACATGGGCCCGACTCCAGCCCTCTGCCGGCCAAGACTTCACTGAAGAGACTGTACTGACCAAATCACCGAACCCTTATGAAGTGGAGCCTTACATTTTCAGAAGCTCCCCAGATTCCATACACACAGCGTCAGGAGCCTGGCTCCGCCAAGGCCCTCGGCGCTGCGATGAGCGAAAATGCCGCGTGCCTGACTCGACGACGGTCTGAATCGGCAATGCAGGGGAATTAAAATCAAGTCATATTTTTTCGGATGACGTGGGAGAAAGCCTGATGAACAAAGCAAGAGAATGGGAAGACTCGTGCATCAAAAGGGAATGACGATCAAGAACTCGATTTTGGTCCGGCATGGCAGTCTTCTAGAATCGGTTGCACTAAATGTCCAGAATCTCTACAGGGAAATCACAAGGACGGCGGCATCCCCGCATGAGGCTCCGCGGTTCGACAAAAAAGAGACATGAGCTTTGCACAGCAGGCAGATGCTTCAGCCGGAGCCCAGGTCAGTAGGAAAACGTGGGAACGAACTTTTCAAGCTAATTCTGTAAGTGAGGCTCTATGCACGGAAGTTTGCAGCCGCAATTTGCAGCAGCACCAACACTGTGACGTGCTCCGGGCATACGCGAAAAAGTAATCAACAATCCGAGTTTGGGGTGACGCCCACGTCAGGAAAACGGAAAACGAGTTGAAAACGGCGTGCACCAATTCAGAAAACCCAGAAGACCGAGTCAGAAAGCGGGTACGCATGAGTCGGAGACCGAGGGGTGTGCGAGTCAGAGAGCAAGGCTGGGGAGTCAGAAAACCGCACAGAGGTGATCAAAACCTAAGACCTCAACACTATATGCCCTAAACTTTATGTTAATCGCACGACCCTGAACCCCAAACTTTTGAACCCTAAACTTTGACCTTAAACAGCAAATGCCCTTTTTGCCACTGGACTCAAGTCTAGCCAGTCTACGACCCACAATCATCTGTTTGCGGTAAACCCGAAACTCTCAAGCAGAATCCGAATAATAGAAGTGGTAAGCTGTCTGTTTTCGACTTGGGGGTTCGCACTGTTGTCGACATGGGGCCGGCTGGTTCTCGACTCGTCAGCCCGGACTTGAAAGCACTCTTGCCGACTTGACAATCACTCATCTGATTTACCCCAGGATGATCAAATTTTGCAGCTAATCTTGGGAAAGGCCGTTCTTTGGAAAGTCCCCATTAGACCTATGCAGGAAATCTCGACAGTTCGACAAAATTGCGCAGATGTTATGAGCAACACGTGTGAATGACGCTGTCGGGAAGCTTGACCTACACATGCCGGTTTGCAGCTCTGATTCGACTGCAGATCCCATCAGGACGGAGTACTGGAAAGGAGGAGCAAATGTGCATGTGACAACAGTATAACAGCATGGCTTTCAAGAGCACAAGCAATAGTACTACCTTTAACTAGTCATGTCATGTTGGCATTGGAGATTACCGAGGATAGTCCCACAGATTGGCTCTCCGAACCCAAAACCGAACAAAGGAACCTATGAAATATGAATTAATGTAGAGGCCTTGATGATTAGAAGAGGGTTTTGGGTCCCATTATACTATAATTATAAGAAGGAGCCCCAAAATAGTGTAAGCATCCTGCCTAACTGCCTGAGAACCAACAGTGGCACTTAAAGAAGCATCGGCGGCCTCGGCCATAGCCGCTATCTTCCGATGCCAGGCCTCTCTGCAGAGTTTCTATGAATGCAGGAGACAGGAACCCTGGCCTCCTCAGCTCCGTCCCGAACCCGTAATACCACCTTCAACACGGACAGCAAAGTAATTATACCGTGGCCTCCTCGGGCTCCTCTCCTTCGCGATGCACCTTGGAGCGTTCTGTTTCGGAGAGCAGCGGCCCCATGCAGTCTTTGCAGCCGGCTTTCAAAGCTGGACATGTGCTGAGAGGTTCCAGCCCCTTTAAGAACCCTTGAACGCTCTGCAGGGACCCTTAAACGATCCCTTTTCAAACTGCCAAGGCCCACAGACTCATCCCCTACGGTACCCTGGTTGATTCCTTGAAGGATGCCGTGCTAACAAGGATTATTATCAGGGAAGCCTTATCCTGCCTATCTTCGTTATGAAGGCCTGTTATGACATGCAGGCAGATGATGTTGCCGCAATCCATGTTAAAGCACTTTAGGGAGCTTGATAATATCTTTATTGACCCTAGAAAGCCCTGTAAGGTAGTTGGTGTTTCGTAGGTCATGGTAAGTCACCAACTTTTCAGGTTCTACTTGTTCCCACCTCTTTCTTAATTCAGCACGGCAGGAGAAAACTAAACCCAAAGCCTGCAAAGCCAAAACCAAAGAATTTAATAAGAAACCCTTGGGATTCTGAAAATCACAGATCACAGCCAAAGGAAAATATCTCTTCCTGTGGAAAATTTCCTAAACCCTTAAAACCCTCTAAACCCTATGGCTCTGAGACCCCCCAAAGGACAGCTTGTGCTCGGGGAGTCTTCCCCTCAGCAGCCACTTTTTCCCGTCTCCGTTGCACCTATAGGCAACATGAACAAAAGCAGATAGATAGATAGATAGATATAGTTCTACATCAGTATATAAATGTTCACACATACAGTACTCATTTATCTAAACGTGGTTCGCCAACAAGGTGTTACTGAACTTTGAAACTACACGTAGATGTTCACAACAACATTAGAGTGGATATCTACCACATAAACAGCCGCGGAATAGAACATCTGACAACTCTGAATCGGCCCACACCATCCGAGCCGGCTGAGACATACAACAAGTCATAAGGACACAGTCTCAAATGCAGGCACACGTGTACAAGCTGCACGTGCGTGGGAACTGAACTTGTTGATGAGCATTGCAGTATGTAGGTGCGCAAGACTTGCGTCATGTTTCCCTGCCGGTGCGCACCTACGGTTACCTATGCGTACAACGTGCAAGTTACAGTGCAACTACCTACAAATACAATCGTTCGCTCACGCAAATATAGACATGTGTATATGTATAATATATATATATATATATATATATATATATATATATATATAATATATATATATATATATACATACGCATACAGGCGTATAATACACACACCTATCTATCTATCTATGTATACCGACGTTCAGATCTGTCGGTCTCTCTGTCTATCTGACATTTTCTCAATGTGTCTATGAGCTGACTACCCGTCTATTTGCCGCGACAGAGGAGGGAGGGAGAGAGAGAGAGAGAGAGAGAGAGATGGATAGATACATAGATAGATACACATCTGTAAGCATAGATGGATTGACATATGAGGGGACAGAGAAAGCTTCGTGTGCATACAATGCTGGGTCAGAAGTTGGGCAGGGACGCGGCTAACCAATCTACATGTATGAAAGGCATCGGAAAACTTCAGGACTCGGGTATATTAGGCCGGGTGGCTGCATCGAGGTGTGCATGCAGCCTGAGCAACAGACTTTCACTGACCACCATAGACATGTCCATGGCACTGCATCGTGTACTCTCGCTCCTCTTCCTCGCATTGCAGCTTCAATATTGCAAAGCATGTTGTGTCTTTCAGCCCTGTTGCGCTTTTCAGCCCTGAGCCATCAAAGCAAAACAAACAAACCCTAACGGACAGCATGCTCGAACGATGGGCCCTCGATCCAGGCTAAATCGCCGCATGGACGTCGCCGGACAAAGTGGGCAGCAGACCCAGCTCGAGCTTGAGCTGCGAAGCGGCATCCAGGGTGGAAGGATAGGTTCGACATTGGGGTATATTGGGGTCGGGTTCCTTCTTGACATATCAAGTGCTTTTGCGGGCTGGGTGAAGCCGGCAAGCGAAGTGCAGCCTTCCGTCCCTCTGCGTGCCAGACTCTTGTGGAACTTACACAGTCGCAATCGAACATGATCATCTGATTTTCGGGAAGTCCTTCCCACCGTTCAGGTATCAACGTCCTGTATCTTGAAGGCAAGATGCTCATCAAATCAAGCCTACGTCCGGCAGGATTAAGCTTCCGAAACATGAAATCTGCTCCTTATGATGGCCTACGAGCCAACACCCTCATCCACAAGCAACTTTGAACTCTTGAGGCCCACACCCCTGGGGCAAAACCCCTCACCGTTTTCGCCCTCAACAACGTCCGAACCCTGACACCCCAGACCCCCTTTGCCTTTTTTTCAGAACGTGCTTTGCTGGTATGCCGGCCCAGACCCAAACATCACCAAACCAGAAAAGCCCATATCCCTACGAGCGATCTCCGACGCCGGCCTTTTCGGGCGTTCTGGGATCCCAGGAGTCGATCCAGCCGGAACCTGTCACATTCCAGGCTTTAGGGTCCGAAGGTCTTGCGAGAGGTTGAGAGATGTTGAGAGGCGATAGGGTTTCTTGGGTTGAGCGTTTAGGAGTATTTTGTTTAGGGTGTAGGTCTTGGGCGTTTTTTACCGTTTAGGGTCTTAGGTTCCTTCACTTCTCGGGTTTAGGGCTTCGGGTCTTCAACTTTATGATTTTCTTGTTCAACATCGCTTTCCCGTCTCGTTTTCCCTCCATGGTATTCAAAACTCAGGTCCAACAGCCGCGCCTCTTGAAGGAGACGGAACCATCCTCAAATGGAGCAGTGCTTTGACAAAAGGCTGAAGTGGTGGGTTCCGGACCTCGACTATGTAGACCTTTAGACTATTACAAAACTTCACTGGACTGGGAACGGGTCTGGCTAGCGGAAGGATCGGACCTCTTTGCCACAATGCACCGTACACGCGGGTGTCAAGTCTACTTTTCCACGTTCCCCATGACAGACATAACCCCCTAGTCTACATTCTCAAGTCTATTTTGGGGCGAAATGTGACGTATCAGGCCGAGCATACTTTCGATTGGGAGCCCTCGGCCGGCTTTACAGAAATCGCACATCCAGCCGCTCCCAGCTCGGTGAAATGCAGGCGGGTGTCTGAGGCCGAAGAGATCTTTGCCGCCCTCCGTCTGCTGGACCTGGATCCCGGCCCCTAAACTCTAAACCCTAGGCCCCTAAGCCCCTAAGCCCTAAACCCTAAGCCCCTAAGCCCTAAACCCTAGGCCGGCCCCTAAATCTAGGGTTTCGGCACAGTGGGGACCTAGAGTTCGGACCTAGGCTTGCGACTCTCGCAACTCGCATGGGCTTAGGGGCTTAGGGGCTTGGGATACATGTTACATGCGTTTTTGCCGGGACGGTGTGGCTGCAAATCTTGTTCGGTTCTGCGTGCTGAACTTCAAACACTTCAAAGCTCATCACCGGCGGTGGTGCCGAAGCTGAGTGCCTTCCAGGAGGTAGTCGAGAACATAATCTCACTAGAACAGCCGGAAGCAATAGCGATCTTTCATGATACCACGAAGGTCGGCTGCCGGAACAGGTAGAACTTACAACGAAACTTAACCGCATAGAGGAAACAAAGCGTAATTTACTTCAAGCACGTGGTGGGCGGTAGGGGCAGGTTTGGACGGCACTTGACAAAGGATGCGTACTTTGGCATCAAGGTGGGAGAAGCTCTACTGGGGATGACTGCGGGGCTCTAGGGACGCAATCACCCCGAGGCAATGGACAGGATTCTGCCTGTTTTAGAAGCAATTGATGTGCGGCCATGGTGCCTCAACACGAACCGTGTCAGCATGGAGACCTGCATGCAAAAGGTAGACCAATCGAAGCACTGTCACATGTTGACTTGGAGCTATCAATGTAAAACTGGGTCTCTTGTAATCTCTTGTAGACATGACTGATATCGAAGCAATGACCAACATTCTCCCAGGGGCTCTTCGACGGGAAAGGCAGCTCGCTGGAGCTGCTGTCAAAGAGCCGTCGGTCGAAGACGACCCGCACACCTCACGAAAACTGGGGTTCCTGACCCAAGCACTTTGAATCCTAGAGGCCGAATCCTACGAAACCTTGAGCCCGAAATCCTAACCCAGTTCCCAAAGAGCTCCCTTTCTTGCAATGCTTCCGACAGACTTCGGATTCAAAGCTCGGAGTTCGAGGGCCCGAGAGAATCTTGGATGCTGTCGTACACTAACTGACCACGAACAGAGTTTAGAATTTGGGGCCGTGATTCCCTGTTCGGGGAGTCAGGTTT